CCCCTTGGCCCTGTGCCTGGGGATGGATGACCCCATCCACATGGGGAGACACACACGGCGACCTCCATGTGCACACTCACGCAGGCATGCACTAAGCACCTCGGAGGTAGGCAGGCGATCTGCACAGAGGGCACAGCAGTGAACAAGACGGACAAAAGCCTCTGCCCTTGGGGGTCTGCATGCCAACAGAGACAGGGAGTAAATAACAGAAGCAATAAACCCTAGGAAGAAAATGACACCCTTGAAGGAGTAGAAGTGGGGATTCTCTGATAAAGGAACATCTAGACAGAATCCCGAGTGAAGTGAGGAGGTCCCAAGAACACTAGACATCCCGGAATTGAGGGCACAGCAAATACAAAGACCGGGACGTGCTTGGCATGTTAGAGCGACAGGGAAGGCCGCAGTGGCCGGAGCAGAGTGAGGGCAGAGCAGGTGCGGCGCTGAGAATGGTGCAGAGTCCAGAATGAGGCCAGCCCACGCCCCTACCTGATTCAAGGTCTTGGGTTTCCTGTAAAGTGAGCAGTGGAGGGCCATGGGTGGGCGGATGGAGAAGGGACTGAGGAGGGGTCAGACTCAGAAAGCAGGAGGTCCCCGCAGCCTCAGCCACAGCCGCCAGTTCAAACGACCTTGCTCTTGGCCCAAACAGCCCTCCAGCAGTGACCAGGATGCGGGGAAAAGGGGCAGCTGTGCCTGTCACCAGCTCAACAAAAAGCCCTGCAAGATGAACAACCTGCAAGTGTAGCCTGCTCTCTGCCTTGTGCTGGATACAGGGAGATGGCAAAAAGCAAGACAAAGTCACTGCCTTCAAGGAGGTCAACATCTCAGAGGTCAGCAGCTGGTTCTCCCCAGGAGAACCCTCATGGGGACAAAGGTGACCATAGGGGCTCCAGGACATTTCTCTCCACCTGAGGGCTCAGAAGCTACCCTCTGGAGCCCTGGAACCACAGGTTTCTCCAAGCTGAGCTGCAGGAAGCATGCACACACCAGCACACACGCACACGCACACACAGCCCAAGCAGCCTACTTGCTTGAAAGGTGGGGACTGAGGCAGCAGCATGTCAGGTCATGCGCAGTGCTAGTGGCTTCCCATCTTCTTACAGTCAGGTCGTAGTAAGGAACAGGGCGTGCCAGGCTGTGAGCCTTTGAGGGCTAGCACCAAGTGTGTCTTACCACCCCGCCCCAGGGCTCAGTAATTTGTGCAGAGTAGTGAGGACCCTGGCATTAACCAAGAGAGGACTGGACACATCAACAAGAAGGCCCAAAGTCCTCCTGCCTCCTCTGTTCTGAGACCCTGCTGCTCAGTGCTGTGTCGCGAAGCCTGTCAGCTTTCACTGGAAATGCCACGGTCCCATGATGGGACAGGAGCAGCTCCCTCTTCCAACAGGGGAACCTCCACCCGAGCCCATGACAGCAGCCCTGCCCCTCTCCTGCACGGCAGAAATGAGTTGAGGTGGTTATTCTTAATATTCGTGTTTTAATAGGCATCTCATCTTCCAGCAAAGACATTCTCTCATTTCAGTTACCCCTGTTCTGTAGCAGAGAAAACAGGATCACAGAAGCTGACTCGGGCCCACAGTCTTCTCCTCTCAAGTGGTGGGGTCCAGATTCAAATCCCATGGGACTCCTTGACATCTGTCCCCATGACTAGCACTCCAGACCCTCCCTGGCCTGTATTGGGGTTGCTGAGCACTGCTGGTTCTGGAAGGCCGGTCTACTATAAAATGGGTTATCTAAATCATTTTTTTCTCAAGTGGAGAAGCCCTTCTTGCATGTAAAATTAGGCAGGGACAGCCAATCATAAGGCTTTTCAAAGCAGAGCTGCCTCTGCAGCACCTGTCTAGTGCTGGGCCCTATCTCTGCCTGCCTGGGGGCTCCCCATTTTAACTGTCCAGCTGTTACCCCGCAGCCCTGCTTCTTAGGGCCAGGAGCAGTCAGTGTGTTCACCTCCCTTTATATCCTAGCTTAGGATGCAAGCAGGATGGGGACTCCTCCTTCACCCCCACTTGGCAGATGAAGACACTGAGTCCAGAGCTGGAGACTTGCTCCAGGCTATGCAGGCTGTTCAGTGGCAGAGCTGCAGCTGGAACTCAGGTGTCCTGCCACTTGGCCCAGTGCTGTTCTTTGAGGCAGCACCTTCCTACAGGGCAGAGGTGACCGGGACCAAAGATGAGAAGGAAAGAGGGTGATATAGTCCCAGCTGGCCCTCCCTCAGCCCCTTGACTGCCACGTACCCCACACCTCAGCCTCCAGCACTCTGTCCAGGGGTCTTCTAGACAGTCAAGCCAAAGCGAAGAAAGCCCCTGGTTCCTGGAACAGCCCACCCTTGGGGCCTCCAGAGAGCTGGGCAAACTTTAGGGACAACAGGAAGACAGACCCTCTTAGGAATAGCAAAGTGCAAAAGCCCCTCTGACATCTAAGCAGTTGTCACCAGAGGACAGTCCACTGCTGTGCAGCTTGTGGACAAGGCATCCAGAGAAGCGAAGCCTCACCCAGTGTGGAGGTGAGGTCTCAGGGTGGTGGCCCTGGACCCAGATCCAACAATCCCAGCGTTTGTGACGCTTCTGGATTCCAGCTGTTTGTAAGTATTCTGTTTCTACTGGGGGTTTGCTGAAATGCTGATCCTGCACGTTACCAAATGCTGTGATGCTCAGTGGGCATTACAAGTCTCAGATGGCATGTTCGTTCAGCCAGCCCCAGCCCTGAGAAGAGGGAGCAGGTTACTGAAGAGCCCGTGGGCCGGCGGGGGGCTGGGAAGGCGCGCTACCCCTCCCCCAGGCAAGGCAGACCCCTAATGCAGATCCACGCAGCAGCCTCGTCCTCTCACCCGGTGTGGCCACATAAATCACCCTCCCAATAATATTTGTATTGATTATCTAGATTGGAAGCCTCAATTGGCTCCATTGTCTCACTTCCTCTCCCAGGGCTCACAGATGGGGTCCCTCAGCCTCATCTGCGTTTCTAATGGGACATTTAAATGTTGCAGCAGCAGCCCACTAGGCCCCCTACTGCCCTGGGTGGTGAGGAATGCATAAAAATGTTCCTTGAGGGAGGACGATTAAGTCCTAGAGTTTGTGGAGATCAAAGAGAAGCCACGATGGGCTGAGTGCTTGTTAGAAATTCAGACATGTGGACCACACCCTGACCCACGGCAACAACACGGGCATCCTAGCAAGGCTCCTTGTCGCTAATGTGCACAGTAGTATTTAAGACACACCCCTCTAGTCCAAGCCTTGTATTCTCCAGAAGAGAAACTGAGGCCCCGAGATGACAAGCGCTTGGCTAAGGTCACATAGCAAGCAAGATCCCTAGAGTTCCCAGGAAACAAGAGGACGAGTGGCCCTGGAGTGAGGGATCGGCCACTTCTAGGCTCCTCTCCCTCCCCAGCTCCTGCCTCGTGTCTCAGGGTGTGGACAGATGGTTCAGACCAGCATCTGACCCCCCTGTACTCTCCCAGCCTGGAGGCCCCAGTCAGAGCTCCTGGGACTCCCCAGGAGGGCACCTCCTCCCGCCCCAGCCAGCCAGCTGCCCCTTCCCTGGCAGCAACTGGACAGAGGATCCCAGGGAAAACCACCACCTGGGTCTGCCCTGCACAGGCAGGCATCTGCAGCGGGGCCCGCGCGACAGAGGCCCAGAGAGACGGTCAGCAAGAGAGAGACCGGGGAGGAGGAAGGCTGTGGTCAGGGGGAGGAGGAAGGCTGTGGTCAGAGGGAAGGAGGAACCTGAGACACAGACAGAAACAAAGCAGGGAAGGGGCCAGGACCAGGAAAGAGAGGGAGGGGAAGGGAGGCAGTAAGAATGATGGGACAGCGAGGAGGGAGGGGAGGCAGCTGGCCTTAGGTGCAGGAGCCCAGCGTGGCCCTTCCCGGCCTGGCCTGGCCTGGCCCAGCCCCCCATGCTGGTGCAGCTGCCACACTGGAGCCCTACCATGAGGTCAGTCCTGCCCTGGGGCTGAGGGAAAATAAATGGTGTCCAAGATAAAAGGTCCAAGAAATTATTTGTCTTGTTGTCATGTCCTCACTGCAATGGGCAGGCGCTGGCGGGCAGGCGGGGCATCATCCCAGAAAGGCCTAGTCTGCCAGGCTCACTGTACGCACAGGTCCCTGGCCTCAGCCACCACCTTGGCCACACACAGCCCCAGCTCCTTGGGCCAGGGGCACCTTCCAGAACTTGGGCCTGAAAGGCAGAACCTGGCGGGGGCAGGTGCTTTCCCAGAGATGGGCGAGTGCCAGGAGCCTCACAGCAGCCTCAGCCCTTCCTGCCTAGCAATTCTAAATAAATAATCTGCGTGCTAAGTATTTGCTCAGTGTCTGTCTTGGCCAGATCCCCACCAAGTTGTGGGAAGGTGGAATCCGTCTGTTTTGCTCACTGTGGAGGGTCTTTGGCTGGTGCTTGGGAATAGAGGGAGTCCAAGTGTCCCCCTCCTCCTGGTCCCCTTGCACAAGCAGCATCAGGGAAGGTGTGAGGGTCCCTACCCACCGCACAGGAGGGCTAGGCAGTTCCCAAGTTAACGACAGGTCAGAAGGCCTGTGGTCCAAGGTGTCATGAGGGCCACATCTCACAGGTTCATGAACTCAAGCTGAAAACACATAGGCACAGGTGAATACACCACACTCACACCCATGCACACTGGGCTGATTTCTACCACCACCTACAGCATCCAGAAAGTGTGACTCAGAGAGGCTCCTACCCCAGTGTCTGAAACTGGACCTGGTGAAACCATGGCATTACAAGCAGCCACCTGCTGTAGGCATGTCCAGGGGAGCCACCAATACTTATAACAACTGCCACTTGCTAGGGCAGTTGCCAGCCAAAGCAGCTTTTCATGTCTTTAGAACTCCCAACACACTCTATAGAATTCACTTCGGCAACCCTATTTTGCAGATAAGGAAATGGTGGCCCAGAAAGGCTCAGTGCTAGGTCAAAAACAACACAGCAAGCACACTGCAGAGCTGGGATCTGAACTTGCACTGCACAGGGGGAGGGGAGGGGCCAGCACATACCATACTTGTCCCCATCCTCGCCACGGGCACTGATCCTGCGGCCCAGGACCTGGATATGTTTCCCACTGGTCCGGCTGTAAAGCTGGTACAACCGCAGCTGCTTACGGCTCACATCGTCCCGAGCCCGCGTCTGGTTCTCCACGTGGATGCGGAAGTCCACGTTCTCCTCGGCCGCCAGCACCTAAGCAGGGGAAGAAGCAACTGTGAGGTGGCCACACTCACAACAGAGAGCAAGGCCTCTTCCACGTCAACTCAAGCCGGGCCTCAGTAGATGCTCATGACCACTCCATCACTACCCCTATTTCACGGAGGAGGCAATTGAGGCTCAGAAGTAGCAAAGCTCAGAGTCAGGCCTAAGTCTATTTAATTTTTTTCCATCACTGCCCCACATGTAAGCAAGACTACCTAGCCAGTTTCTCCTGTGACCTCAAGCACACCGTTTATTCTGTCTCAGATTCCTTCTTGGTGAAATGGTAGACCAAACCCCAATCCTGGTGTCATGCCAGAATTGCTGTGCGGCTAAAGTGAGTGGATGAGAAGAAATAGACTGACATCCACACAGCTGTGAGGGAGGAAGAGGGGCAGGGAACTGCTGAGTGGGTTTCAGGCAGGGAAGGAGGGCAGCCTGGCAAGTGTTAATTAGGGGGCCAGTGGGCCAGAGTCCACTGTGACTCCCCCAGCATCAGCTGCCGGGGGAAGAGTCCCCCTTACCCCCGAGTCCCTCAGGCTCTCTCGCATGAGGCCCTCATCCCAGTCCCCTCTTGGAGAAGCTTCCATTGTCTCTACCACCCATGGAAACTTCCAGCAATGTCCCCAGCTGAGCTCACATCTGTCCACATTCTCCAGGAAGCCTTTTCTGGCTAGGCCATCGTGCACCTCCTGACCTCCCTCCTCACTGGCCTGCTGATCTACTCAGGTCTTGCCCTCTTCCAATCCATCCTCCACTAACCCAGTTCTCTGATAAAATCCTCCCCTTCCCCTCTTCCCCAACTTCCTATTGTGCTCAGATGGAGGTTCTCACCACGGCCTGGCGGGCCCACAAGTGAGACCCCAACTGCTTTTCCACCTCCTCCTCTTACTGCACCTGCTGACTGGCCACCTTATCATCCCAGAGCTTCCAAAGGCCAAGTGTGCTTCTGCCTCAGGGCCTTTATACTTGCTCTTCCCTCTGCTCTGATGCTCATTTCCAGATCTCCACAGTCTGCCCCGACATGGGTATCTGATCGAGACATTGCTCAGACAGGCATCCCTGGACCACCTTTCAGAGGTAGCCTCTGCCTCTGTCACTTACCATGTTTGACTACATTTTGTTTTTTTCCTGCACTCACCCACTTGGCAAACCCTCTGCTAGCCTAGTTTTTGTCTGTTGTCCACACTAGGCTGGTGGCACCATAAAAGGTTCTTACTGCACCTAATAACACATACACTCAAATACTTTGAGTGAATGAATGAATGAATGATTAAAAGGATAAATGTTGACAAGACTTGAAGCCCTGCAATTCCATTTAACACTAAATTAGGTTTTCTTACAAGCCACTAATTGGATGCATTTTCCATCTAGTCTAACCACAACACCAAACAGGTGGTGAAGTCTAGACAGCATCATCGGTTTGTTCTGTGCAGCCACAAAGTCTGGTACAACCCCAGACACATAGGACCCCACTCCCACAACAGCATGGTCCCACCACGCCCATGGTTCTTGGGACTCTGGCTGCCCTAGCATGTCTCACCTCTCAGTTGTGGGCTTCCAAGGGCAAGGAGTAAGTCTTCTTCATTGCTATGGTCTATGCACAGCCCCAGGTCTCTGAGCCCATGCTGACTAGCAGGTCTCCCATCCCTGGCTGAGCCCCATAGACGTTTCAGCAAGACCACATTATTGAACCTTCACAGTTGTCCTCCAGCTGGAATCCTCATCCCACATTGCAGATGAGGAAACTGAGGCTGTGCAGTTGAACAGATTCAATTACAAAGCAAGCAACACAGTGTTAACCCTAGGGTTTGGGGGGCTTCCTGCCCACCATCCCTCAGGACAGCCCAGTGCCATCAGAAGCTCACCCCAGATGCAAAGCCCAGGGCGCAGGGACAGCTCTCTAACTAAGGGACCTAAGCCTTTCTTAGCCTTAGTTTCCTCACCTACGAAATGAAAGTAATGATGATGGCATCTACCCTATGGGGTGTCACGATTAAATATACAAAGCAACATAGACATGGTGATACATAGCTGTAATCCCAGCACTCTGGGAGGCTGAGGCAGGAGGATCACAAGTTCAAACCTGGCCTAGGCAACTCAGTAAGATTCTGTCTCAAAATAAAGTAAAAAAAAAAAAGGCAGCACAGTAGTGCCTTGGAGCCATGCCTGGCACAAGATAAACCCTATGTCAATGTCAGGGTAACCACAAAGAGAATATAAGGGAACACTTCTAAGGGCTCCAGATGAAGCCCAGAAAACCAGATTACAGTCTGGAAAGATGCTACTGCTTTTGTGAGCCCTGACAACCTGGTGTCATGGGAACACTTGTCACCCCACTTAACAGATACAGAAACTGAGGCTGAAAAATGTTATGTCCATTACCCTAAGCCACCCACCCCTGTGGGGCAGGACCTGGCCTACTGACTCATGAAGTATATCTTCTCCTCCTTTCCACCAGCCTGCAATGGCCCATCCAGGTTTCATAGCCTAGATTTGATTCCCAGGACACCCCTACCCACTTCCCACCCTGATGTTCAGGAAAGAAAGAATTCCAGGGCCTGAGGTCCATATCTGGAGGGCATTTGTCCTGAAGGCCCCTACCTGTGGCCTCTAATCTTCCTGGAGTGACTTCAGGAGGTGGCCTGGCCATCCCCCTCCCCCAAGAGCATGTATCCGGCATCCCCCTCTGTCCTCCAATCTCCTCCTGCTCGCAGGAGACCTTATCGACCAGAGGTCAAACCAATCTCCTCACCCCGGGTCCCAGAGGAGAGCTGCATTGCCCCAGAAGCCAGCCTCCCATTAATGATTTTCTTCCTAGCCCACTGGACAGAGGCAGCATGGGTGACCCAGGGTCAGCAGGGGCTATCGAGTGGCCCTTCCCCAGGATATGGGAGGAACAACAATCCATCTTGCCCAGCTTCCACCATTTAAGCTACACTCTGTGACCAGATCAATCCCCAAGGAAGTAGCAGGGGTGGCCTGTAGTGGTAGCAGGGTCTGTCCCCCCGGAAGCAGGACATCCCTCTGGGCTTCCTAGGCAAGGCCTCTGGTGGGCTCAGGGAACCCTGCCTCCTTTCACCTGGCTTCAGACACCTGTCCCGGAAGCCCTACTGCCCTCAGCCTCAGGCAGGGGAGTGAGCTGGACATACTACTGTCCCCAGAGTCCAGCCTGACTGCTTCACCCCTGGGTCTCAGCCCCGCCCCAGGAGGCAATCAGCAAATGCTTGCTAAATGGACACCTGGAGGCCAATGGTGCCTCATAACTTAATACCCAGAAGAACGGGGTGGCCAGCCGAAGGATGGCCAGGAACGTTTCCACACTAGCAAGGGCTATGCTGTCCTCTGCCCTGGGTATTGTGCTCAGAAGCCCCCTAGCAGCACAGGGGGCTGCTGAACAGCACCGATCTTGTTCACTCAACTACATGAGCTGCTGAGCACAGCAAGAGCTCAGGGCAGGGACCACAAGGCCACCTCTGGGGTCAAAGGGCTCCGTGTGAGGGAGCTGAGCTCCAACTCTGCCTCCAGAGCACATACAACACACTAGGGGACAGGGACATCTCCTGTCCTGTTAGCTGAGTGGCAGGTTACTTCGCCTTGGTGCCCAAGAGGGAGCCTGTCTTTGAGGCCTTCCCAGGACAGTTAGAGCTGCTGCCTGCCTGGCTAATACCCTCAGTTATCAGGGATGCCAGGGCAAAATCCAACTTCCTCTGCCCTCACTCTGCAAGAAGGCTTCGCACATAAAGGATGTGTCCTAGAGAGGGAAGGGCTTTAGCCACCCTGCCTTCCTCCCCACATCACACACTGAGTACCTCTTGGGTTAAAGCAGCTTTTTCCACAACAGGATGACCCTACAGTTCCCCTGCAGCCTACGAATTCAGCTATCCCCATCTGCCTGCCCTGCCCTAAGGACTTCGGCTCTCATGGAGATATTCACTCCCCAATCCAGGAGCTGCACAGAGCCAGCAAGCACCAAATGATTCCACTCCCCTCCCAGGTCTGCTAGAGTGTCAGGATCCAGGGACACCAACCTGGCACTCAATGGACCAGAGCCCATGCCCTCGCTTGCCAGCTGATCCTCTCCTCTCCTTGGGACACTCAATGCACAGTAGGAGCCAGTCCTCCCACTCGGAGCCCCAATTCGGCTCCCACTATCTATAGGACAATGTCTAATGTCATCCTCACAATCTGGCCCTGCCTACCCTCCAAGCCTGCTTCCTTAGGTACCTGGATGGGAAACTGTCATGGGGAAGCAAAGTGCTGCCAGCTTCCATCCCTCCAGGGATCTGGCACCCACTGACTCTCTGGACTGAGGACTTCAGTCCATGAACCCTGAAAAGCATGTTTGCAGGCTTCCTACTTCTTTCCAGGCCACATCTCCATCTCTCACGGGCCTCCTCCACACCACGCATCCCCCACAGACAGACAGTACAAACGCACTCCACACACCTCAACAACTGTACAGTAACTAACACTAATTGGCCGTAGGTGTCCCCGGCTCATCTCCCTTCACAAACTTACTAGATTTCTTTAACTCTCAGTTTTCTTGTTGGCAATAAGGAGATTGCTTATAATATTAACTGCAGAGAAAGACTATACTAGTCATGATAGCTATTACATTTTTTCTTTACTTTTGTTCTTTAAATGGCCTTGATTTATGGAGCACTTCCTCTGTGGTAAGAACCATTTTAGGTGAACAATCCTACAGAGTCACCAGAGCCATCCTAGAGTTGGTATGATTATGACCCCCATTTTACAGATGTAAAAACTGAGGTTCAAGGAGGGTATATCACCTGACCTAAGTCACAGAATTAGTGAAAAGAGGGCTCAAGGTTCAAATATGGCTCCCATCTGTCTAGAGCTCAAGCTCTCCAACGCTTCACCCCAGCCTTCTACCATTTTCCCTTCTCCTCCTCACCAACCTTTTTTCCTCTATAGTGCTTCCTCCTAGGTTTCAGTTAACCCTGGTCAATTAAAGTCCAAAATTATTCCCTGGAAAATTCCAGAAGTATTACATTCTGTGCCATTTTGAGTAGATGGTGAGATCTCAAGCATCTCTTTGTCCAGCATATCCACGCTGTATATACTACCCACACGTTAGTCACTTCATAGTCATCTCAACTATGAGATCAATTGCCTCAGTAGCACAGTGTCCATACATAGAGTTCAGAACTATGTATCCTTGGTTTCAGGCAACCACTAGGGATCTCGGAATGTACCCTTAAGGATAAGGGGGGACTACATTCCAAACAGCAACTGGTTCAGAACACATGCCATAGCTGGGGTGAGGGGTAATACCCATGAATGAATGAATGGGCTGGAAGCCTTGAGCTCCTCCCTGGGAGAGAGAAGGATGGAGTCCCACTGCCCTCACCCACCCAGGTCTCTGCTCTTTGATCACCAGAAGTCCAATGCACTATCCACTGAGCCACAGAGCCACCTGATCTCTGCTCTTTGAGGCCTCGTGCAGTGTGGGCATGCACTCCAGGAGCCTGCCCAGAAAGGGGGGTTCTCTCTGGTCTCTAGGAAAGCAGCCCACAGACTTCCAGTGACATCCTATCCCAGCCTGCTTCCTCTAGTGGCAGCAACAGAAGAAGGCCAGCCTCACCAAGGGCTTCCAGAGCTTCTCCAAATTCTAGATTCAAACCTGAGACCTTCCTTGGCAAAGTAGGAACCCGTCTCTGCCCCAAAAGGCAGCTCCCCAAACTCTTCCTCAAAAGCAGCCTGGATGCTCTCCCGGGGGCTGCTGCCAGCCACAGTGCTCTGTAGATTATCATCATCAATACTCACACTGGCTCCCATTTACTGGGCACTTGCTCTGTGCCAGGGCCCAAACTAACTAAGCATTTGCCAGGCACGGTCTCCTGAAAGACGCAAACTGTCACTGTCAGTGTGCTCTGGGTGACACAGAGACTCAAAGAGGCCAGGGTCTCGCCCAAGTTGCACAGACAGTGACAAAATCAAGATCCAAACCTCTCTCCGCATCTAAAGCACTCAGACTCCCCTCGCCCCACTTAGCACTTATGTGTAGAAAGAGGAGGAGGAAGACGAGACCCACCTCAGACCTGGGCTTGGCTCAGATGGGCACCCTCTCCTTCTCTCAGCCCCAGCTTGTCACACTCACCACACCCAAGTCAGCCAGGACAGAGACGGAGGCTGCGAAGGGTCCTTCCCCACCCCCAGCCTGTGCATTAAGCTCCCAGGCCTATCAATGTATTGATTGGCAGGGCCAGGCCGTCCGCATGAGAGGGGGCTCTGTGGGATGGGGGCTGGGCCTGGGGTAAGCTTCCCTCTCCCCGTATATCAGCCTTCTCTGTACAGATGGTCAATATGGGTGCTGCTGGGCTAGGTACCTACCTGGAGCCAGCCTGGGGTGGGGGCAGGACCTGAGCCCTCTCTCTCCCTCCCTTCCCCCCAGCCAATCCCAGCTTCATTTCCACTTCCCTTAAACCCTTGGGTGAGAAGAGTAGTCGCCTATGCCTACGAGATGACAAACAAGCCATTCATTGCGGCATTCAGTGCCCAGCAGAGCCTTGAATCACCCCCATTCCTAAACTTGATGCTCCAGCCACCCCAACAGGCTGGGAGCTCGCTGAGCACATCAGGCCATCCTGTGCTTTAAGGGAGCACTATTGTGCGCTGTGTGCCTGTGATGTCTTACACACACACACACACACACACACACATACACACACACACACACACACACACACACGCATAGGCACATACAGATGCACACGCACAGCTTCACCATGTCCTTTTTTCCTGGTTTGCTCCTGTCTCAAGGTTTGAATGTGGCATTCTCCCTGGCCCACTCTCCTCACCTCGGAGTGCCCAGTGCACCCTTAAGCTCCTATTCTCTGGCACCCTGCCCTCAGCGTCTCTTCAAATCCCAAGGGCTGGGACAGGAACTGATCCCCTGGTGCTGGGTGTGGGGAGCCCATGCCCCAAGCCCACCCCTCAGGGACCCATGATTACCCTGCATGCCAGGTCAGGACCAGGTGCCCAGCACCTGGGGCACAGGGAAGCCTTCACCTGGCCTCTAGAGACTGGGTGCTGAGGGATACTCTAGCCTCAAGTACCCCACAGCCAGTGGTAACTGCAGCTCACAGTTACTTAACACTCATCATGCCCAGTGCTGTGCCAAGTGCTTCCCCAGGGGACCACAACGTGCCCTTCCTGCAACCTGAAGAGGGAGGTGCTACCTCAGGGCCCAAAAGAATGAGGGGCAGTTGAAAAGCCGATCAAACTGCTCAGTCACACAGCTACTAACAGAAGTATAGGGTAAGACCCAGCAGGCTAGGCCAAGAGCCTGGGCTCCTTCCTGTCCCAGTGGGCCCCGATAGAGAATGCTCAAAGGACTGTGACAAAGTACCGTGGGATTCCGAGGCAGAAGGTGGGACAGGAGTAGGGGAGGGTGGCCAATTAGCTGCCCAAGTGGCAGCCGTCTCTTCTCAGGGAATGCTGAGGAAAGAGCTGAGGCCTGGATGTCTGTACCCACCTCCAACCTAGCTCTGGGGCAAACATGCAGCAGGTGTCCTGTAGATGTTTGTGGATTGATAATGGGGAGCAGCACCATATTTGAGTGCCTACTGCATACCTGGGCCAGGACGTGGCTTCCATTACTTCCACCAACAAGCCAAAAGAGTAACAGTATTATTCCTATTTTGCACATGATGAGGAAGTGGAGACTCAGAGAGGACCTAGCCCAAAACCATACAGCTTGTCAGTGGTGGAACGGCAATTAAATCCACACCTAAGTCCAAAGCCTATGCTACAACACAAACTGAAGGAGGCCTGCGGTCACTGAACCAAGAAACACATCCTTACTAGCTTTCTCTAGCATCTCACAGCAGGGTATACACTAAAACACACACAGCATCTAATTGATTGGGCAATTGCTATTACTCAGTTATTTACTATTAAGCCCTGTGCTAGCTATTCCATGTGCAGCACCCCATTCGGTTCTCACAACAACCCCTAAGAAGGAGATGTTTCTCATTACCCCATTTTACAGATGTGGAAAACTGAGGGGCAGATGGTTGAAGATTAAGGAATATAGCTGCTGAACAGCTGCTAAGTAGCACAAACAAGACTTAAAGCCAGGTACCTCCTACGCTAAAGCCTGTGCATTCAAGCACAGCGGAAGCCACACAGCTCACCTTGCTGACACCAGGTAGGTAAACCAAGGTTCTGAGAGAAGTCAATTGCAGAAGCAAGATTGGAACCCATGGGCCCTGGGCATCATTGTGTTCTGCGGCCCTCAGGAGGCCTGTCTTTGGCTCCAGCCTCGACAGGGCTGCATTTTAACTGGGTCTGGGACCTCGTGCCTCTTAGATATCAGAGCGCAGGAACTACCAGCAAGCCTGACTACACCCCAAGGGGCCCACTTACCTGCTGATGTCCAGAACAAATTCCCAGCCTCAGGCCAAAGTGCTGATGGCAGGCCTAAACCTGTACTAAGCCAGATGGCTGGCGCCCAGCCCTTGCCACACGGCAGGCCCTCAGCATGCCCTTTCCCCCAGTGGCCTGCCGGGAGTCCCTGTGAGTGAGGGAGGGCAGAGCAGCCCAGAAACATGATTGAGCACTCAGAGGTTCACAAAGAGAAAGGAGCAGGTCAACACCAAGCCACTCACCACCACCCAGTGACCAGTGGGTGGCAAGGCCCTGCAAAAGGTGGGGAGCAGTACAAGGGAACCCTCCTAGCGCCAGAGCAGAGGAGATATCAGTCAGGAACTGCAAACAAGTTCAAGGCTGTGCAATTCTTTTCTTAGGCATCAGAGACACTTTGTTGGTTGCTGTTTGTTTGTTTTTCCATTTTACACATGCAGAGGCTGAGACCCAAAGAGGTTAAGTGACTTACCCAAGGCCACACAGCAAAGAGAAGGCAGAACCTCAATTAGAACCTCGGGCCACGCCAGGCCGGGCCGGGGATATAGCTCCGCAGCATAAATGCCTGCCTGGCAAGCACAAGGTCCTGAGTTCAATTCCCAGTACCAAACAAACAAACAAACAAAAAGAACCTCGGAATATCTTTTAATAAGCCTGGGTCCTGCAGCCTTGCTGTGGGACCAAAGGAGGGAGACTAAATGCCCCCAAGCCTCCTGTCTTCATCTGCAGAACTCTCTAACTCCAAGCTGACTGGGAAGCTTCCCATGGACAACCTGAGAAGCACCTGGCATACAGTAAGCCTGCCACCCCGGGATATTACAAGTATTGTCACTGATACTGTTGTCCTTGGCCTGATGGGCCCTGTCCCCCAACTTTCTACACCCGCCACTTTCCTGCCAGAGAACTAAGATAGAAGTCAACAGTCCTACAGAGGACAGGCCTCTCCTCCCAGACCCCTCCAGCCTCCAGAGCCACCTGGGGCAGGGTAGCGGCTACATTCGGAACATGGACAAGCTGCCCCAAACCTGCTCACAAGGTTGAGCCAGCCACAAGACATTTTAAACATCCACCTCTTTATCTCCAGGTGAACAGGTGACACTCAGGGGCCACAAGAATCCTGGCAGGGTGCCCCTACCTCTTCCCCACCCTCATTCCTGCCTCTGCAGCCCTCTGAGATCTGCACACTCCAGGAGGACCACAGCCTGCGGACACTGAGGCTCACCTGGGCTCTGATCATCCCCAGCCCCAGAGTCCAAGCAGGATGTCACTGCTGTTTCCCCACCAGTGTTCTAAGTAACTTCATAATTCCTTCCGAAAAAGCCAGCTTGGTGCCACGGAGTAAAGGGCTTGAGCCCAGAGTCTTGCTTCTTTTTTGTTTGTTTGTTGTGTTTTTTGAGAGAGGGTTTTGCTACACAGTTCAGGCTGGCCTTGAACTCATTTTGTAACCTAGGCGGCCTCGAACTCCGAAGTGATCTTCCTGCTTCAGCCTCCTGAGAGAGTCTTGCTTCTTAACCAGGGCCTCAAATAAATCCCTTCCCCACTGTGCCTCACTCTCTCTACCTACCTCATCTCCTTGCAGGACAGATGAAGGGAAGAAAACAGCTTCCCAATGTAAAAGAAGCTTTCAAAATTTTACAAGCAGCTCCCTTTTTCCTTAGGGGAGTCATTTCTCCTCAGCCTTGTTTTCCTCCTCTGTTAAATGGGAAGAAGACATACCCTGCCTCACTACACATCAAAGCAGCGGAAGGGGTGGAGTAAATAAATGCTTGTGGACATGGCAGTGTCTCCTCCATACCTAGAGCTGAGAGGCCAGGGAGTGGCCAGGAGACAAGGTCTATTCCCAGGGTATAAAGAAGCTGGCTGGAAAAAACTGCTACAGGGAAACCTCACTGACTGGACAGAGGGATGCTGTTGTTTTAAAATATTAAAAATGCCATCCAACAGGACACCTTTCCAGCTTAGTCTTGCTGCAGAGGACACTGCCCCTGGCTTCCCCATCCCAGGCAGTTTGAAGGAAGCTTCCAATCTCTCTGAAGAGGCTGGAGGTAGGTAGGAGTGGTGAGGCCGAGGGGAGAGTAGAAGGTCATTCCCAACCTGAGCACCTCTCACACTAAGAGGAAGTGGCACCGTGGGAGAGACAAGGGGCTTCCAGAAGGGACAAGAGGCTGGAGGAAGTCCCCCCCTGCTCTGGCCCTCCTCCCGCCTGGCCTGTCTGGGGAAGGCTAGGACCTAGCCGAGCCTGGCGGCAGGAACAATGTCAGGCAGGTGCCAGCGGAGCAGCGTGAAAGGCCCAGCCCGGTGTCATTGTCAGAGCTCAGCCAAGTGCAGAAAAGCAATTTACTGGTCACGCCGCCTGCTCCCACGGAAATTTTTAAAATTCTTCCGATTTGAGCTATCTGCAGTGTCCTGAGTCTTGTGGAGAAGGGATGAAGGGATTTTATTAAATTCCCAACTTCCCGCTTCCCAGGGTGGCCGAGGGCGGGCTCACCACACTAGGGGTGGGTGGAGGACCGTGTCTGGCGTTGAATGTGCTCATGGAAACGTGGCTTGGGGGCAGGGACCTATTCTGAGCCTGGTAGCTGAGAGATAGGAGGAGCAGAACCCAAAAACTCCACGGCTAAGACTGGACTGGTCTCCAAAACTGTGAAATCAAGGAGGGAAGGGCACAGGTACACCCATCTCCTAGGTGAGCAACATGCCTTCCCGGGGGGGATGAGAAATTGTAAAACTTCTTCCATCTCTGTCGTGTACCACTGCAACCCTGGGGCCACCACCTTTGCAAGTGATGAAACTGAGACTCTCAGGGTGACACTGACAGGATGGAGCTGATACCCAGGACTAGACCACATGACTGCCTTGCTCTGAGCTCTCTCCACAGCACCATGAGGTCTCCCTGGCCCCTGCCCACACCAAAATGCCCCAGCTAATGTCACCTAAGGGCACCCTGCCCAGAATGTGGCCACTTTCCGTGTATCTGACCAGCGCCACCTCTGCAGGGATCAGATTCCAGATTCCTGGCAACCTGCATTCTCATCTCTGCCCCTAAGGGCCATCCCACCTTTGTCCCTGAAGTATAAATGGGGACATAAGCATACCGTCCTTGCCTGAAACTCCACCATCAAGGTAATGTTTCTTTACCTTTCAGGGATCCAGGGTGCTTTTGAAAACTTATGGGTTGCTGAAAGCCCTCTCCAAAATGCATTTGCATGCTATTTATTCTGCCATGTTTCAGGAACACCCTCCCCCAAATCCCATTCCTAGATATCCCAGGGATGCATGGACCAGGAGTTAAAAACATCAGCCCTGTGGTAGTTCAGATGTGAAAAGGTTAGAGAAGACAAAGGAAGGGAAGGCACACGAGAAGAACGGAGGCTCTCTCACCTGCCTGAAGGCTGGCTCTTGACCTGACCCTAGCTGACCACCCAGCTTTTTCCTAAGATGCTGGCTGTAGCTCTGGCCAGGAGGTGGAGGTGGGAAGCCGCAGAGTCCAGACTCCCTCCCTCACATTCTCCTCGGAGAACACAAAGACCACCCAGTAGCCCTCCTGGGCCCCACTTCAACAAGATTCAAGAGCAGCAGGCATCCAGAGGCTTGGGCAGCAAGGCTCAAAGACCTCCCCCTATGCCGTGTCATCAGCTCTGCCCCAGGCTCCATACTCCAGGAAAGTTTTCCCCAAAACCAGACAATCAGACCCTCTGGAGCGACCTCAGGGCATGCCCTGTGCTTGAGGACTCAGCTGCACACCAGGAAGACCACGACTGGAACTGGCCTCTCTCTCTGACACCAACGGTTCCCCACCCTGTCCCCCACCCCCATCACCACACAGGGTCACATCTGCTTTGGCGAACAGCCAGTCTTAAGTTACTGACTCCAGTTGTATTGATTCAAGAAGTCACTGGGGACCTCATCCTAGCCAACAGGAGGAAAGAAGGCATCAGTCCATCCGTCCGTCCATCCATCCATCCATCCATCCTTCCAGCCCCTAGCCCCCAACTCCAATTGGCTGGTCCCTATCAGGATGGTAACACTACCAACAAACACTGCAAGAGGCTTCTGGGTCTCAAGCATTCAACACACAAACAGAACACTGGGAAAACCACCATGCTCCCATGTGCAAGGCTCTCTCTGGACCTCTCCAGAATCCCAAAGGCTAAGGCCTAAGCTTCTCACCTAACCCTGCAAGGACACCTGCCTTTAACGAGGGGGAAGGGGCAGATAATCCTCTTTTGGCCTGTATCCAGCTCCTCCTTGGTCCCCTCCCTTGCAGCTCTAGGTGGGTGGGGGGCTTGGGCAGCTGGGCTTCCTATTCCCTTTGCCCACCCCCTTTCTCCCCACCACGCTGAGGCTGCTCTGGTCTGGTTCTAATCGGGGCTGAAGTCGGCTCCTTCTTCCCCTCTTCTCCAACCCCCCTCCCCTTTCCCTTCATTTCCACGGCTTTGGAAGCCAGAGCGTTCCAACTGTCTGCGTGCCAAGACCTTCCCGAGTCTGAAAGCTGCTGAAGTAACAGATCAGATTTTAGCAAGTGCTTTCCAGGCTGAGCGCCAAGCCCTCTTCTGATTCACGGAGTGCAAGAGCGAACGGAGAGCAGGAGCAGGCGGGGAACCAGCCCAGGGCTGCACCACCTTGGGTGAGGGCGTGCGGAGCGAAGCCGCTCCGGGAACGGCCTCGGGCAATCGCCCCTCGGGCGAGCGCTCGCTCTCGCTCGCTCTCTCGCTCTCCCTCTCTCTCTCCCCGCCGCCTTTGAAACCACAGACTAATTTACAACTGAAGCTCCTCTCTGGACTCGAAATACACTCCTGCAAGGAGCCTTTTTGTTTGGAAGAGCGGGCGGCGAGGTTAGGGGACAGTTTGCAGACAGACAGAATCTCTAGGTTCCAACTCCTTGCCAGCTGCAGGCAGGGTTCTAAAGCCAGGCTAATTGCTGGACCCCCCTCCCAGCCCAAGCCGTCAAGAACCGCGGCAGCCTAAGCCGGCAGAAGCCCCTCAGCAGAGCACGCTGCCCTTGGCGGGGCCCCTGCCCGCGCCGGGCGCACGCGAAGCCGCCCTGGGAACAGGTGCACTGGGCTCTGAGCCCAGCAGGGGTGGGGCGCAGCGAGGGGTGGGTGCGGCCCGGGAGAGGGGGGTCTGCGTGCACCGCGAGGGAGGGGGGGGGCAGAGCCAGGAACCCACGTACCTGTACCTGGAAGCAGAGCAGCAGGAAGTGTAAACACCTGCGGGAGAGAAATGGAGAGGCGGTCAGTGGGACTTGAGGGAGAAGGGCGCGCGGACAGACACGCAGGCGGAAAGTCAGACAAGACGGGCGCACAGACAGAGCCACAGGCACACGGACAGACGGCGGCAGAGTGGGCAGCCTCGCACGCGGGCGCTTACAGGCAAGAGCAGGCGGAGGGCGCTGAATACATCGCTGGGCGGGGGGGAGGCGGCGGCTCCTAGCCCAGCCTGCACATGTCCGCTCCGCGCGGCCGGGACCGGGCGCCTCCGCCGCCGCCGCCGCCGCCGCCGCCGCTGCTGCTGCTGCTGCTGCTCCCTCCTCGCCGGCTGCTGCTGCAGACTCTCCTGCTCCGGGGCGCTCCGCGGCGCGCCCTGCGGCATCAGCGCCCCGCGCGGCTCCTCCCGAGCGCTGCGCCCTCCGGGCTGGCGCCGGGGCTGCGGGGCGGCCGCCGCTGAGCTGGAGGCGCCCGGCTAGTGCAGGGAAGCAGGATCACTGCTGGCCGTCCGTCAGTCTGGACGTCCGCGGGGCTCTGGCTGCCCGGCTTACTCCGGAGGCAGCATGAGTGGCGGGGATGGCAGCCGGGGAGCGCTCTTCGGCAGGGACGCGGAGATGCGCGGGGCCAGGGGTCAGCGCTCCGGGGCTGGGGCGCGCGGATGCAGCGCGAACGCGTCAGGGCCGCTCCGTCTGGGCGCCCGCCGGCTCATGTCTCCTCCTCCGCCTCTCTCCGGCCGTGCGCATCGCCGCCTCCCACCACTGGCTGCGGCCGGGGCGTTTTCTACGCGCGGGCGGCGAGGGGGCGGGGGGCCGGGGGGCGGGTCCGGGCCCGAGCCGGCACAATGAGGATGCGGGGCCCGGGGGCTCCCCCCTCGGGGCGCGGCCGGACGGGCGCTCAGCTCGCCTGGGTGCGCCGCGCCCACATCAAAGGCGGCCCAGCCAGCTCCCCTGCCTGCCGCGGCCTTTCGACTGCCGCCGCCGCCTCCACCTCCGGGCTGCTCCGGGTTGGAGCAGAGGCTCTGAGACTCCAGACGACTGGACCAGCAGCTCCGAAGTCAGAACCCTCGAGGCTGGAGCTTGTGAGCACTGGAAACCGTCGAAGTTCTGCACCCGGGCGCAGTGACCCGCTGCGCAGTGACCCGCTCCACAGCGCAAACGTCTGAATTGGGCAGGCGGTGGTCTCTAGGAACGCAGTTAGGTGCGGAGGGAGCGCCTTCACTCACCCACCTACGCCATTCACACACCCACCGGCGTTTGAGGAGCCGGGAGGGCGGGCCAGTCCCAGCCCCTAGTAGCTCCACTGGAGGGTGGGGTCGCTTTTACGCGCCCTGAGTCCACGCAAGATCGGGGCGTTTCCCAGCCACCCTCCCGGCAGCGGGTGGACCGGGCTAAGTGAGTCCTTTTGCTCTCTTCCCCTCTCGACTGCTGAGGTGGGGAGGGCTCCGGTGTCCTCCCCACCCCCTCCCCGGAGCTCCTGGGTAGGTTCTCGGGATCCCAGCTGGGCTCTCGGATAGGCAAGCCAGCTTTGGAAGCACACGGCCACCACCTAGCGGCTTCGAGGCATCACTGCAACCCCAGACCAGGCATGCTCTATGCCTGAGTAGCCAGGACTCTGGTCAGCGACCACTCCAGGACCACTAACCCCAAAATGTAGATATTCTTATCACACAGCTTTCTCAGGCTACAGCCCCTATCAATAAACCCTGCTTTGGCCTGATGCTAACAGGAAAAGGTGAAAAGTGTGAAAGAAATAGAACAAGCTCAAAAAGTCAGGAATCAGGACTATCAGAAGCCTCTGCGTGTCACTGGTTGATACTCCCATTTTGCTGCTGAGGGGTGCTAGCTCCTGGTCATGGACACGCACTATTTTAAGTTGCTAGGTGAAGAGAAAATTCTTGCAAGAAGCTGATTAACTGAATTTATGTCGACATTCTGAACGCCAGAACTAATCTTTCAACTAGTAACTTCCCAATTTCTGGAGAAAATGAGCCTACCCCTAAACCCATGTTGGCACAGCAATGGTTTTGGTTTACACCTGAAGTGTTTCAAGTATCTCCTGGCTACTTTAACTTGTACTTCTATTGAGTAGAGTTGGTATGTAACTGTCCAAAAATGCTTTGCCATCTTTTATTAGTACTCAAATACAATGTATTAGTCAATTTCATCTATCGTACAAGACTGACCAAAGTCAAGTGCACTGTTTAGAGTTAAGAACTGCACGTCCTGGATTTGAATGTTGCCTCCAACATTTGCTTATACGTTCCAGCAAACAAATCTAAGGCTGCTTCCTCATCTACAGAATGTGGCTAAGGACACTAATACCAAAGAGGTGCAGAGTACCAATGAGACCATTGTCTGGCACATACTGCAGGTTCTAAACGTTTTAGACCAGCAATTATCCCAGGTTTTAGGTTTACACAATCTTCATTTCATGAAGGTGGCAAGCTGAAGCACTGAACTGGAATTTTTTACTCCAAATTTAACCACTTTGCCACATTTTTCCTTTTCCCCACCAATCACACCCTCAAAACCCAGTTCCACATTTCCAACATAACCTTTTCCCTTAAACCCATGAGTCTCAATTCTATTGGGATTTGGTATGCTAATCAAACTTATTATCAATCACCACTAACTGAGATCCTGTTTTGAGACCCTGGTTGAACACACAAGGTCCCTACACTAAGCAAGCACTGTGTTTCTCTTAGGTAAGCTGGGCAATACAGACAAGAAAAAAGCTAGCTTGTTACCTGTGCTCAGAAAGCAATCAGAGGGGTAAGACGGTAGAATATAGCAGAAGACATGTACTGAAGATCTTAACATTTACGCTAAGATAGGACAAGCCAGGGTATTCCAGGCAAAGAGGGCATCTATAGAAAGTTAGGTGAGTGAGATAGTGAGGTTAAGATGATACTGACAATGCACTTGACTGTCTTGTAGGCAGGCCCTCATAAAGAAGTAAACATTTTTCAGGTCTTTCATGTATAGCTTTAATTTTTAAATGTACAGTACAGAAATTTGACAAATGTATCTATGTGTAAACATGACCTCTTCAGGTAACCTTTCCACCCCGAACAGCTGGTTCTTAGCAGATCCTCCCAATTTCATGTAGAACCATACAAGAGGTGCTCCTCCGCTCCTGCTTCAGCATGATTCTGAGATTCATCCATTGTTACGTTTACCAGCAGATAATCCTTACTACTTTAATAGGAAGGACATACAGCAACATTCGACAATTTATCAAAGGCTTTAAAAATATGAATCAAGTTCCTCTAGCTGAAAATGTTCAAGTGACAGTAAGGAGGCCGCTGAGGTTCATCAGTCCAGTCTAGGCAAGAAGAAGAAGCTTATTTGGACACACATGCATTCAACTCCCAGCTCTAAGGTAATAAACTGGCAATTTTCTGAGGAGAGTGAACAAGTATGTCTCCCTATCCCTTCTTCAAATGTAGTTAAAAAAAATAACCAGCAGTGCAATCGTGCTTTCCCCCTCTACCCAGTCTCAGATTCTGACTTGATTCAGTGAGTCTGTGGAACAAGTACTGTGGAGACAAAGGTGGAGAACACCCAGCCCAAGAACCTAGGAAAACAGCTTCAAGCAGCATTGTCTCAACAGGACTACTTTGTTAAGTAGGCCCTTCGCACAGATGAGGCTTTCCCAGAGACAGCTCTTGGAAACTTCGGCATCAAAGCATGATGGCTGGATTTGGTAGCACACACCTGTAATCTTGGCAAATTAAAAGGCTGAGGTAAGAGGATCAAGTTCAAGGCCAACCTGGAAAATAGCAAGACCTTGTCTCAAAAATGAAAACAAAGAGGGTAGTAGCTCAATGCTCACTGGGCTCGGTCCCTAATACCAAAATAAAAGACTAGCTTAATTGGGCCACATATTGGAGTGTGAGGCTTTAGTTTTTAAACTGTCTATGGAGAAGTTACAAATACATCTTACTGAAGCTAAGGTCTATATTTTAGAAATATGGGGCTGAAGGTTAAAGTCTGAGACTTCCTTCTAGGCAGTTCTTTACTAATTTCATTGCTCCCTGACTCAGCAAAGTCAGAACCAGGTAGTACCTTCTACAAGTACTACAGTACCTGTATAAACCTCATGTTACTATACTGGTCATTTCCATGACTCAGCTCAAAGTATCCTGATATATCAGCTAATTTAGCTTGTTTCTTAACTAATACTGAACTGAGACTTCTGACGCTGAATTTACCCTTATATTCAAAGGATTTGACTATGAAAAAAGTTTCCAACCTCAGCCAACCAATGCACCGATGCCTTTTATGTTCTTAAAGAATCTTCTCCCTTGCCTTTCCAGGATAAGATGAGCCTGCTAACCTAAAACACAGTAGGTATGCAATGCTCCCAAATGTGGTCTATAAATACAATTCTTTTTAAAGCCACGGCTCCTTGGAGAAATACTCAAAAAGCCTAAGAAAATGAGCAACTTTAACCTGGAACATCTTGTCTTGTTAGAAAGCAAGCCAGGTATAAGACCAAGGTCTACGACAGTACAAGGAAGCCTAAAAGAGGATTCTATCAAAAAGAACATGTTAGCACCAAAATTGATAGTTGCCTTTGTATGTATCTTTTAAAAATTCATTTGGAATATACTGGTTTCTTCCAGAGGCTGCCAAGACATCAACTGCTGAAATTGGTAAAGAAACATTAAGAAATGTTTATAAAGCCCCTCAAAAGACTGACCCGTTAAGGAACACTCCCAAGAAGCAGATACAACAGCTTGGTTAGCATGTATGGAGGCCCTGGATTTGACCTAGGTACCATCCAGTAAGAAAACTGTCATTTTTTTAGATGACTTGAAACCTTCAATCTGTCCTTCCACAACCTTATCTGAAACTTTGAGGAATGGACATCATCAGCTTTATTTAAAAAAGCATCAAGAACAGGACAATCAGTCAATCCAACTGCTTTCTGTTGTACTAGAGAAAGCCCTTTTAGGTTTCCTACTATGTAAGTTAACTAAACAAAAATAAGTCTAATTTTAGATGCAAAGAATGCAAACATTACAAGTTTCTGACCTACATTTCTTGAAAATGTTAAGCCTAATTAATTATCATACTCCCTAAGATATAAAGTGATGCTAAAAAAAACAGTTCTTGGTAGCATCTCTCAAAACTATCTGAATACCACCAACTTTAAAAATCAAATAAGCAATCTGGCAGGTAAGAGGAAGGGCTAGGGGTAGGTCTTAAGTCCCCAGTTTAAAAAGTAAATGATCTGGGGCTGAGGATATATAGCTCAGTGGCATAAGCGCTTGCTTGGCAAGCACAAGGTTGTGAGTTCAATCCCCAGTACTGCAAAAAAAAAAAAAAAAGTGAATGATCTAGTCCAGCACAACAGTGTGACTGAAGCCCAACTACCCAGAAGGCTGAGGCATAAGGATGGCTTCAGGCTTTCATTACATCTGAGGCCAGACTGAGCAACATGGTGGACTATCTCAAAAAATCTTTGAAAGCTAAATTACATAAACGTTTTTTAAAAATGAAGTGTGTTCCAGCAACAGAGTACAATAAACATTTACCGCTGGGCGTGGTAGCACATGCCTATAATCCCAGCACTTGGGAGGCTGAGGCCACTGGATGCCATGAGTTTGAAGCTTCCTGTCCTATAAAGTGTGTTGAAGGCCAGCTTGAACTGCAGCGCAAAGCCCTGTCTCAGAAAAGACCGAAACAAAAAAAATCAAACCACCTCAAGTCTACAAGGTGTCTACACTAAAGCTATAAAAGAGAAGCAACTTAAGTCCTGGGGAGGAAATAAGGAAACTACAATCTAATGACCTGATACATGGAAAACCAGGAATACAAACAGTACTGTACCCAACTTTTGTACTACCCCAGAGATAAAAGGGTTAACATATGTAGACCCTCATCAAAACAATTCTAAATACAAGCCCAGACAACCAATGCCACAATCCTAAATAAACTTTAGGAAAAGAGAAACAAGTTAACAGAAGGTGACAAGTCACAACTGACCATTTCAAATCACAATTAATTTCCCTCCCGTTTTTGATACGACCGATGAACCAACCCCTTTGAAAAGTTAAAAATAAAGCACAAAAATTTGAAAACTGCCTTTCTTAAAAGTTTAAACAGAAAGGAATGGGGAAAAACAGCCAAAAGAATCGAAAAGAAAGCCTAAGAATGGAAATAGAACACTGAACTCTCCATTCTCCCTAAGAAAATGCCCCAAAACTGAAGTAGTCAGCCGAGAAGCCCGTACAAAAACACATGAACTAAATTTTCAGAAAAGCACATGCAAGAGAACACACTAAAACATCAATGGAGTAGGCAGAGAGTAAATAAGGTATGTACTTCAACCAGGAAAAAAAAAAAAAATCCAGCTGAGAAGCTAGGCATAAAAATTCAAAAAAAACACTTCTCCCATGTATATACTAGGATACACCACAGCAATAAAAGAGCTAACACTACAGTATGTTTAACTTGATTCATAATACATTAAGCTAAAGTTTAACAGGTAAGCATGTTTCAAGTATCAGCCTCTGAATATCCTCATGTAGTCAACCAGTCTTACTCCTATACATGGAAAATTTACTATTCTTGGGCAAATCATTTTCAGTTCTTGTTCTATGGAAAGGCTGTTTCAGGCCACTTCAACATGCCACATTTCCTTTGGATGGCAATGTCAGGAAGATGGGAAGTCTGAGAGAGTATCTTCGAATATACTGCATAAATTTTGTTTACTACCAGGAAGTGGGCATGCATGCACACTAAATCCTCAGATGAAAACTGCGTTAACCAGGACTGGGAATACAGCTCAGTGGTAGAACACTTGCCTAGCATGCATGAAGCCCCAGGTTCCATTCCTGACACCATGAAATGCTTAGAAGGCTAGGCAAAGGACATTTTTCACTATTTAACATTTTAAAGTATATTAATTTCTTTAACACAGTATAAACGTTAAATAAGTAAATAGAAACAGTGTTACTTTATTAAAATACTGAGTTTATTTCACATGTATATTTTTGTCTCCCTACCATCTCCATGTCTGACCACCACTACTACTATGTCTTATCATAACATTCCATACATACTTAAAACCAAGTAAAGGGTGGAGTTCCATCTTTAAAAACTAAACAGGCATTTCAGACAACACATTCTTGGCAATGGGACCTGGACAACATTTATCAAACACGGTAGGGAAAGTTCTCACTTTGCATTATAAAAAGGATAGCCAGATAGCAACTGTTACAGAAATGAAATAAGACTGAAAGTTTTAACAAACTGTTTAAACTGTTTTCTTAAAGAGACTTCCTCCACTGCCAGAGATCTTGAATAGCCTAGAAGAGGAAAAAAAAAAACCTTGGTTAATAGGCAATACCTCATAGGTATCAGTAAATCAAACCCTATCCCTTCTAACTGTTTTCCATTTTATATTCTACCACAAAAAGTTCATGGTAGTTAATTAAGAACTAATACCAAGGTAATTCATATTCAAACATAAATATTTCAGTAAGATAGACCAAGAGATTTCAAAATTACAGTGGGACAACTGAACAGCTTAGGGAGTAAGAAAATCAAAAGGAGACCTATTTGTCCAGTGTTGCCCCAATCTCAGCCCAGACATCAGCTATGCCAGAGTCAATTACAAAATGGTAAAATCAGTTTGCTTTCTCCTCACTGTTCACACCTTTACATAAATGCACTAAGTCCACAGGCAGTACTTTTTCCCAGTAATTTGTGACCTTTTATAAAAATATTGTCTTAAATCTCATGATTCTACTAGCCAAAGCCTCATAAGCAGTTTTTCTCATGAGAAAAATATTGCACAAAGGGAAACTGTACACAGTTACATATGTTATAAATTATACTGTAAAAATGATTAAGCTTTATAGCTATACTGGCTCAGTGTCCCTAATCTGAAAATCCAAGAATCAAAAACTTTGAGCATCAACATGAGGTTCAAGTAAATTTCAGATGCTGAGTCTTGGGATTAGAGATACTCAAACGGAAATCATGCAAATATTCTACCCCCATGCCCTGGGATACCCAACCTGTGATAGTAAGATCAAGCTATTAATGTCTACCATTTCACTACTGCAAGTTTTACTCTGGCACCTGAAAATATACTTTCTTTCATAGTGAGGTATGGCATCACTGCCTGCAAACGCAGCACTCTGGGAGGCTACAGCAGAAGGCCCACAGGTTTTTTAGCCCAACCTGTAGTGAAACCATACCTTAAAAAAAAAAAAAAAAAAGTACTGGACAGTGAAGCTAAGGGCAAAGACCCTGGGTTCAATTCTTACTACTGCCCCAAACCCCCCTCAGTTCTGTTCTAGAATAAAATAGGTGTACATTCAGTCATTTAAGCTGCAGACTGACAGAATAGTGTTTAGAAAGCCCATGTAACTTCAGTTGTTACTACATCTTCAATTTTCTTCATAAATTTCTATCTTCACTTTTTTGGGCAGCAGTTTAAGAAATTACATATCCTAGACTGTTAATAGTATATGCAGATTTTTGTCTAACTTTTTATCTTCTCCCCTGTATGATTAATTGTATAATGCAGTTTCAAAAGAACTTTCATGTCTAACAAACTCAGGAAGTTCACAAAATCTGTACTTCATATTTTAAGATTCAAATATACACCAAAAAAAAAGTCCAAATAAGAATTAATCTGATACCTTCATATCCCAATTGTATTTTCCCACGAATGACCTGGAAACTACAATGGAAGCAAAAACCACTATAACTTTCTAACACACTGAACAAAGCTAAAATACAGGAGATGGGGATCTGTCCTGTATGTACATGAATTCTAGCATCCCTATTTAGCTGCTTCTACATTTTCCTTTATAATTGTGCATTGAGAAGTGAAAATAAGAAATAAAAGGACATATAAGACACTAAAAGTATAGCTTAATAGTAGAGTGCTTGCCTGGCCTGGGTGGACCCTGGGTTCTGTCCCAAACACCACAAAAATTCTTCAGGGCTAAATGGAACAGAAACTAAAAAACTCTCTTCACTAAGCCCACACAGTATCAAAAGGAAAACAGTTAAGTAACTAAAAGGTAATTTACCAACTACAGAGAAGCTGGGAAAAAAGTTTACTGAAAAAGTTATCTCCTCAGTCTCTGCCAAATAAATTCTTAAAAGGTTATCTGTGGTTAGGAATCGTTTAAAAGGAACCAATAATGAGTGAAAGGAAAATCAATAAATCATGAGAAATATGAATTTGGTCACATCCCCAGAAAATTTAGTTACCTCCTGGTCAGTCATCCGGAAGCAATTCTTCACATAATTGATGAACTTGGCTTCCACTTTGGGAAGAGAACCGCCCTGTTGAGGAAAAAAAAAATACTGAAGGTAACTATAGAAATGTTTGCAGAGATAGCATTAGCCAAGTCTTTGAAGATCTGCACACTGATGTACCATTTCTTTCCTTGCCTCTTTAGCAGTATCATTTTTAGGCCTGGAAATACTTGGGAAGCAAGCACATCAGGACTATGATCTTTCAAGGACCCCAACACAAAGTCTGCTTAAGGTTGATCACCCCAGTAGCCACTGGGGAAATTATGACATAAGCTATACTTGAGATTCTACACCCCTGCAAATATGGCAACTTGGCTACCTGTACAGAACTAATGTCAGTTTTATCACAACCCTCTATAATTCAGAACCAAATACACAGACATGCCCTGCTTTTCAGAACCATGTCACAAGTGACCAAAATTAAAAAAACAGTAGTACCAAGAACCGCAGCACAACACCAACCTCAGAATCAATTCAGAGGTTATAAAAAAGTGAATGGAGAAATCAGTAATAACTACAACTTGACTCCCCTCCAACATGTCCTTCAAACTATGAAAGTAGGGGCAATACTGTAATAGCATCACCAAAGCCATAGACTTTGACACTGAAAATTAAGACATTACTATAAAGTTTACATTCACCAACTCTAGAATTATCTCCTATTTTTATTATTTTACTTGTGTCCTGTTCTAACTAAATTTTAATCTATTTGTATCGTTTCTTTTACAATTTCATTAAGATCAAGGTTTCCAAATGCCAAAGGAACTATACGAGAGCTACAGCATCAAGATACTTAACTTGCCCCATCACCTAGTAAATAAACCACTCCAGTATTTTTCATTCTAAAATTGTCACATACATTATTGGATTCATTCAAATATTTATTGAGCAGCTAAAAGAAATACAAAGGTAATTTTAAAACAAGAGATGAGCCATATGCACAATGTATATAGCAATATGTAAGGTTCACTGAATCACAGCAGTTAAAGGAAAAAAAAGTGCTTTAGGAAAAAGATGCCTTCCAGCCTGGTAGAGGGTGTGAGTGACAAATCTGGAAAAGGGGATTGAGATTAAAATAGAAGACTTCAGTCTGGATTGTTGATGATACTCAGTATGGACTATTATTTGTCTCTCCTTTTCATTTCTCCCCATCTTTGGGCTTAATTTATCAGTAGTGCCCAGGACTGTTCAATGCGCCTGCAATTAAATCAAGGAAATAGGACCATATTAAAACGGAGGGGATCATTTTAGCACTGTATGCAAGGGATAAAAATATATCAGACACCTGTAAGGCTATTACAGCCTTAGTGTGATTAAAGCAAAAGAAACACATTCTGTTACTACAATGTTAATTTCCCAATGCGCTCAGAAATCTTCAAGCCATACAGCGCCAACAGACACAGGAAAAACATGAGCTAGGAGCTGGCAATTATTCCTCAACATTCTACATTTATTCTCATTAACTAGCTTCTAGAAATATTCACAGCACTACAGATTCTCTCAAATGTGATTCTAAGACACTTAAGTCAATTTTTTTCCTCTCTACATAAGTGCAGAGTTTGATGAGGTTAGCCCTGGCCCCCAGTCTAAGAAGCAAGACAAGACTGCTAATTCCCTTCTTACATGTTTTCCACTACTAAAAAAAGGAGACTAGACATATCTTAATTCCACGTATATCGATTAGAGGTGCCTTGACGTAAAAGGCAAATAAAATGACTTAATTTGCTGGAAAAGGTTGAGTCAGTAATGAGTATTTTTTTTTAACTGTAACACCAAAGACTGTCTATGGTTTTCCAGTTGCTTGCAATTTTATGTAAGACTCATGCCCTCTGCTGGTTCTGAAGCATAATACAACCAGAAAATGTTTTCGCTGATCTCACTTTATATCAAAATGTATCAATATGCTTTACCAATAATGTACAAATATGCTTTTTTGCAGTTAAGATTTGCTATTTATACTTTTATAAGCCATTTGTGAAAATGTTCACATACCAGAAGTACCAGGGGTAGGTAATATTAAAATACCAGAGATAAGTAATATTAAAAACATAAATTACAATTATCCAAATCCACTTAACTAATTTCTTGAAGACAACTTTACTTACCTTTTCTATACTTGCTTGCATTTTTGCTTTAATGTCTTCTACGGAACTAGGTCCTTTGGGTGTTTTAGGAGTCTTTTCCTGTTTTTTAAAGGATTCCTGGCCCTACGGGAAAAAAAGTTGAATTTCAGAAAGTTGTAAGTATATAGCTCTTAAAACTCATCTTACCTTGATATTCTGAATTATTCTTACAATTTTCCTTTACAAAACCCATACTAGGCTGGGCGTGGTGGCGCATGCCTGCAATGCCTGCACTCACAAGGCTGAGGTAGGAGGATCATTTTGAGTCTGAGACGAGCCTGGGCTACAAAGTGAGCTCAAGGGCAGCCTGAACTGCAGTGAGACCGTCTCAAAAAGACCAAAGAAATTAAAAAAACAAAACAAAACAAAAAAACAGTATATGACCAGAGATGATGTTAAAAATAAATCCATTTACGCCAATTACTTGGTCCATAAAACCGTTTAAGAAACTGCTTCTAATAAGCTCCAAAATAAAGGGTCCTGTAGTGTGAAGGCAGCTTAAGCACAGCATTCATGCAAGAGGATACAATAATCTCCACACGTACAGTGTAAGCATTGGCATGTCCCTAAGCTCCACAATAGTATATAGCCAGTGGGGAGAATCTCCGCTCCAGGCAGTCAGGTTTGCTTAGTGCAAACAACTATTTTTATGAGAAAAAACTTTGCTTCTTACTGGAATGTCAGCAGCCTTGTATCGAATTTTTGTATACCCACATCAACAAGCACATTTTAGACCTTTAAAATATCTGTGTTTTAAGAGTTCTCAAATGTCCCAGTTTAAATGTATGCAGCTACTTACTTTAGATCTTGGTGTTGATGGTTTTGAGTCTTTTCCATTCTGGTTTGATTTTTGTGCATTTTTAGCTGGAGTATCTCGTATCGACTGCAATTAGAAAACCATCAGTGTACTCACACACACGAAGTATGCTCAGTTCAAATGTTTCCCCAAGCCATAGTAAAAAAATAAATTAAGGGCCAGGGATATAATTTTGTGGCACAAGCACCTGCCTGGCAAGGGTAACGTCCAGAGATTGATTCCTGGTTACCAAAACGTAAGAAAAGAAACAAAAACCCACCCCCAAAATAATTCTAAATTAGAAGTTCTCAGTAAAGTCCTAACTCAGAACCAATTCTCAGTATGATATCCTCAAGCTAGTTTCCATTAGCTACAGAACAAGTGAAAGGCGAAACTTCCATTACTTGTTATTAACTGTTTTTGATAAATCTTTTTTGGGTACAGGGAATCAAACTCACGACCTCATGCCTGCCAGGTGTATCACTAGCCCTGATAATCTTAATAGTACTCCTTTAATTTACTCACTTTCTTCACTGGAGCTTTCTCTTCAGTTTCCTCATCATCAAAATCATCATCGTCATCACTGGAAATAAAAGAAGGCAAGATACTAAGGACATTCCAAATTTTAAGACACGACAAAAAGAACTATGCGCAGGATATAAGCTATGTGAACATTCATGTGAACTATAACACTTCACAAAAGCCAAAAGGTGAGAACAGCCTCAACAGCTCAATGGATAAAGAAAAATATATGTAACACATAATGGAATGTCTTCAACTTGAAAATAAATCCTACCTGCAGCAAAATGAGTGAACTTCCATTTTTTAATATGAAATACACCAGTCAACTAAAGGGTGAACGGTATCCTACTTATAAAGGTACCTATTGTAACAACTCAAAGTGTAACTGCCATCACCAAGGCCTGGAAAACATTAAAGAGTCTGTCAAAAGGTAGTCATTTTTTTTTTTTTTTTTTTTTTTGGTTTTTCTCTGGTACCAGGAACTGAACTCACG